TCAACATCAGCCTGACAATGCCTGCAGCTGTATCTCATTATCTAGTTCATGATCTTCATGGAGTTGTGGTTCTACTGGTTCCAGATGCACAAGGACCAGCAACAGAAGTAGATGTTTCATGTTGCAGAGCAGGTGCATCCAGCATCATCTGATCTAGCTCCACCTTCACAAGCACCAGCACCTGCGGCAGGTGCAAACTCCTTCGTAATGGGAGCGGGAGCAGGAGCAGGAGCAGGAGCAGGAGCAGGAGCAGGAGCAGGAGCAGGAGCAGGAGCAGGAGCAGGAGCAGGAGCAGGAGCAGCAGCAGCAGCGCTCTCCTCCTCCTCCTCTCTCTTCCCCTTCTCACGTCTGTCCTGGTCCACCAGCATCGCACCCTGTTTCTCACCTCTTGCATCTCCGGCATTTTCCTCTTCTTTCCGAGCGCGTGCACGCCGCGAGACATCATCTCAGTGGGGTCATGCAGATCGAACCTGGAGAAAGATGAGCAGAGCAGAGCAAGAGCAAGAGCAAGAGCAAGAGCAAGAGCAAGAGCAAGAGCAAGAGCAAGAGCAAGAGCAAGAGAAGGAACAGACGGAGGATGAGGAGAGTGGAGGACAAATGAGGTGAGAGGACAGGGTCAGTGAGGAGCAGAAGCAGAACAAAGTCTCTTCGTCTCATCAGCATCAGCAAACTTACCGCGGGATGTCAAGTTGATATTTCTGCATGTCCCAGTGTCTCACTAGCACCTGGACATGTTCGTGAGACAAGATAGAAACAGACAAGATGAGAAAAGATAAGGAAAAACAAGGTAAGATAAGGTAAACTAAGGTAAGATGAGATAAGAAAAGACAAGATAAGGTAAGGTAAGGTAAGAAACGACAAGACAAGGAGCTGCAGCATGAGTTAAGGGACTGCAACCTACGACAAGACTCAAATCATCGGCCTCATGCTTTACCACCTTCTCCCAAGTTCACTCCTCCTCCTCGTCCTCCTCCTCGTCCTCCTCCTCCTCCTCCCTCCTCCTCCTCCTCCTCCTCCTCCTCCTCCTCCTCCTCCTCTCTCCTCTCTCTCTCTCTCTCTCTCTCTCTCTCTCTCTCTCTCTCTCTCTCTCTCTCTCTCTCTTCTCTCTCTCTCTCTCCTCTCTCTCTGTTGTGTTGCTTCCTGATCTTGCTGACTCGCATGTTCTCTCTTAATCAGGATGTTTCTCAAGTGCTCGCAATCTCTCACCATC